GTGGAATTAGGGTGCAAGGGGCTAGTTGGCTGATCATCACAGCTAATCTCCCCAGGCTGCAGTGGTCTGAAAGGCAAGTCTCCACTTACAGTATAGAAAGAGGCTTTCTTGTTTTCATGGATCAGCTTACTGTAAAGAATGCTAGAATTTCTACGTGTATTCTGAAATTTCTGGTCACTGCTGCCTCGTGCATCATCTTTCTCCTGCTGACCTGGTCCTTCAGAAAAAAGCATACGCTGATGATGGTAATAGCCAAGGCACTAATTGTCTTAATGTAATTGTGATTTAGTCCCGCCTTCTTGAGTTATTCCCAAGATGCCTTGCTTGATTTGATTTTGGCTTACCCTAGGTAAGGCCTCAGTGGTTGATTTTTCCCTTTAGAGTCTCTCATTTCTTTTGTAAGGATAAGCCTGACTTTAATGTGGAGCTTCTGATTGATTTTAACATTATTATCTGTACCTTAAAAAAATGCTTTTGGAGCCAGGGATGTAGGTTAGTGGCAGAATATTTTTCCAGCATGCAACTCAACCAGTGAAAATAAATATTCTGATTTCTCATTCTTCCAGAGATATTGTAAGGAGAGGATGAGTGATTATAAAATCATGGGCTCTGGACTTAGCTCATGGCTGAAATGGTGGGCCTGGTCCTAGTGCATGGCTGAAATGGTGAGCTCTGGTCTGGACCTAGCTCATGGCTGAAATGGTGGGTTCTGGACCTAGTGCATGGCTGAAAGGTAGGCTCTGGACCTAGCTCATGGCTGAAATGGTGAGCTCTGGTCTGGACCTAGCACATGGCTAAAATGGTGAGCTCTGGTCCTAGTGCATGGCTGAAATGGTGGGCTCTGGACCTAGCACATGGCTGAAAGGTAGTCTCTGGTCCTAGTGCATGGCTGAAATGGTGGGCCTGGTCCTAGTGCATGGCTGAAATGGTGGGCTCTGGATCTAGCACATGGCTGAAATGGTTATAATCTTAATTTATTTCATTCTCATCTGAGTATATAATACCCAGTAACAGATACCTTTATCCTAGGTTTATGTTCTTGGCAGTAAAGCTAGATTGAAGTGCCATTAGTAATAAGCTGTGACTTTTAACTCTGAATACCGCTGCTGGTGATGGTGGTGAACACTGTTTCAGCTCCTTCTTGATACCAGATCTTTCACATAACATTCTGTGAATCTCTATTTCTGTAACAAAGATAATTTAAAAACATGTGTAAAAAGATGATTAGGGCCAAGGAATTAAATTGTAGAAAGTTTAGCAGCGGGTGGTTAGATATTCTTACCTCAACACTGATGCTCAAAGGCGTTAATAGATGGAAATTTGTGGAACATCTGAAGGGTAGCAGTGGCACAGGACAGCTGAGATCTGGAGTGTGTGGTCACATGAAGGAATTTCTGAATGTCTTAAAGGACATCTATGAGAGACAGTTGCCCAGGGTGGGATGGCAGGCCAGAACCTGAAGCAGAAGGAAAGAAGAGACACAGGTGTGTCAGTAATAGAAAAAAAAAATACCTACTTTGTAGTAAACTGAGGTCATATGACAAGCAGAATGGTATGGGGGAGGTAATCCTGTAGTTAGAAAACATTGTTTATAGATTTTTGCCCTCTAGTCAGGAAGCGTAGATAGGAGAGCTGTTCTCAAATGTCACAGTACCTTCTAGAAAAAAAAAATCAGCATGTGGTACTTGAAAATCCAAAGCTTGGGAGAGGTATTTTGTTATGCCATTTGCAGCCTATTGCTGTGTATGATAATCCAGGTGAGATGGAGTGGGTCAGATTCCCATGGGCACATACTGCTTTTGTCTCTTTAATTCTTCAGTCAGTGTATAATTGGCCATAACAAAGCCAGAAATTGTTAGTTTTTTTTTTTTTAAGTTTTCCTTCGTGTGTGTGTGTGTGTGTCTGAACATGGGTTGTCTTTTCCTATCACTTTCCACATTGCATTTTGAGGCATGGTCTCTCACTAAGCCAGAAGCTCTCTGTTTAGGTTAGACCAGCTGGCTAGTGAGCCCTCAGAATCTACCTGTCTTCCCTCTCCTTTCAGCACTGAGGTTACAGGTGTATGCTGCCATGCCCAGTTTATGTGGTCCTGGAGATATGAACTCGGGTATTCTTACCTACACAGCAAGCCCCTTATCTGCCTTAGCCCCTCAGAGAATATCTTACATCATTAGGCCTCTGTTGATCAGAGTATTCAATTACAGGGCTGATATAATCATGCACATCCTGGTAGTTACTTCATGGACATCATCTCCCCTTTAACAGGGAGCCTTTTTAGAAACTGAATTTAGTGGGACTCTTTAGTTCTTAGTGTATAGATGGCTGTGTTTGAATAGTGCCAAAAGGCAATGATCTTGGGACCTAAGAGAGAATATCGTCTTCCCTTCCTTTCTTTCTTGCCTAGTTTTAATGGATTTCAGGAACAATTGAAGTTCCTGGTTGGGAGTGAGAGTTGCATTTGATTGAGTTGGATCATGCAGAGACGTAGATGTCAGGGGAATGGAGATAGAGGGGGTTTTGTTGTAGGTAAACTTTCTCAGAGTAACTGTATAGTTCAAGCTATAGAGTCACTGACCTTAGATTTGGCAGACTTAGAAGCAATTTGGACCAACAGCCTAGGCAGTGGAAGACTTCTTTCTTCATTTTTTCTTGATATCTGGGCAGGGGATTTCTACTTGAGCTCATCCAGGAAGCTCACTGGTCTGGAAGCTCTGAGGGTGGAACTGGCAGAGTCATACTTTCTAATCAAACCACAGATGGTCGCACCAAGCCTCAGCGGCCGCCTTCCAGCTCTAACTTTTTGCAAAGTGCTACTTACTTATTACCATTTCATCAAGCTTTGGTCACGGGGCTGGGAATAAAGGAACTCCCCAAATTAAATCCCAGTTTGGATGCTTCCTGGCCTCTCTGGTTTCAGTTTTTACACGTGAGAGAGACAACAAAGTGATGCCTGGCTAAGGAGTTTCGGAGACCTCGCAGACCTTCCCACATGCTGATAACATTCATGAAGAAGCTGACCCATAGTAGGCATTTTACATGGTCAGTCTTCATTTTACCACATTCCACCCTTTGGCTTAGCATATGGTGGTGGATCTGGAGTTGGGCATCCCACTAGTGGCCAGTCTAGAAAGTGGACTAGAACAATTGTCTGATTTAATGAGGGCATTGTGTCAGGTCTTTAAAGGAACATGAAGTATAATGTGGACATCTTAAGCATGAAACCCCTGTAGTTACTGTTGGCTTTCCTACAGCTGTGGCGATGTCGTGGTTACAAAGGGCAAGAACATTAGGTGGCCGGTGGCATGGGGGAGAAGGGAACGGCAGGCTTCTGTCGGAATGGATTAGCATCAGCTAAGACTTCTAACCCAAAACAACTGGCAGAAAAGTGAAAACTTGACTCAGAACTTTAGTCTCACTGTTGTGTGGTCTACATGAAAACAGTCAGGCAGAATGATTTCCATTAGTCTCGGTGTTTTGGGTTTTTTTTGTTTCTTTTTTGTTTTTTTTTTCTTTTCGCCTCAACTTTGTTTAGGAACCATCTAAGTAATTAATTTTTTTAAATGACTGTCTGATCCATCGACTTATAACGTTCATGTGAAAACCACTCGTCATATGTGTGTAACATGCTTAGGGCCAGGGCTTGGTCTGGATGAGTCCTCTGCCTGGTGTTTTGGAGAAATCAGTGACACTGAGACAGAAGAGCTATTTTCTCCATCATCTTCTCCCATTCCAGAATGTTCTTACTTTGAGGGAGGAACCTCTCTTCCTGAATACTCTATAGTCATAACCTTCACTTCAGGGAACACAGAGTTTCAGGTTGACTTTTGAGTATGCATTTCACCCCTGAAAACATGAAAATAGAGAAAAAGCCACCTTCATACATAGGTTAGGAGCATGCCAGTAATGGCACTCCAGAAAAGGGATTCCAAACCTAGGGAGGGGAAAGGCAGATGTTCTCAGTTCTGAAACATTGTGGCTTTGTTTGGTTGTATATAGTCATTGTGTCATTCTGTTAGAAGTAGGTTTAGTAAACATTCTATAACCTAAATCAGAATATTATTTCTCAACCCTAAGGAATTTTGTCAAAGATTATATATACATTTACAAATATATTATGTTTATGAATTTTTCTTCTCATACTATCTTTTGTCAATATTATTTTGAAATGAGAAAATTCCTTTTTTCTTCACTGTGCAAAAACATATTGATGAATTGGCCATATGAATGGCTTAGTGATAGGAGTTCATTAGCTTGAGGTTGTATCTGCACCATACTAGGTATCTAAGGAAGTGTGTGTGTGTGTGTGTGTGTGTGTGTGTGTGTGTGTGTGTGTGTGTGTAGTATGTATAAGCACATAATTGTTCTCAATCATCATAGAATCAGTTAGTCTTAAGGATGGCCACTTATTTCCTACTTCTTAAAACCCTTTTAAATCTTTCCTTCTGATTGCTTGGCTAAATAACAGATTTTTTAACAAGCACCAAGAAATAATTTCACATTGTATATTGTAAGTAATGTTTTCACTAATAAGTAAAGTAGTATATACTGAAAATGATTTTAATTAGTTTTGAAATTCTTCCTTTAAAGCAGTGGTTCTCAGCCTGTGGATCCGGGTCCCATATCAGATATCCTGCATGTCAGATATTTATACTATGATTCATGTAGCAGTAGCACAATCACAGTTATGAAGCAGCAATGGAATAATTGTATGGTTGGGGGTCACCACAACATGAGGAACTGTGTTAAAGGATCACAGCATTAGGAAGGTTGAGAACGGTGGCTCTGAAAGGTAATTTGTAACAGAAGGACTTTCTTACAGAAAAGAAACTTAACATGACAATTTTTCGAAAGAGAGTCTAGCAAGAAAATCTGACTTATATTCAAATGGAAAGATACTGTCTTATAAAATGATTTCTCAGCATTATTTAGGATGTTATATGTTCTCTCCTTTACCAATGACTGCTAACTCACTGTGTGATGATGTGTGCTTACTTTCGCAGTTAAAACAGAGCCAATGAGCGGCAGTGAAACAGCTTCAACAGCAGCAGACGGGTCCTTAGACAGTTTCTCAGGTTCAGGTAAGGAACGAATACTAGATTTTCCAATTCGCACTAAGCATTGTGTTTCCTACTTTATTATATGAGTCTATGTGTTTATGTAAATATATGAGTATTCACAAATACAAATGTAAATATAGCTCTCCTCCCAATCACAGACAAACAATTCTGGTGTTTGTAGTCCCTGTGAACTTTATACAAATAACGTTGGTGTCCAAAGGAGATAAAAGGACTTTTGTTCTTCATTCAACTAAATTACCTTTTATGCAAAGGATGTGTCTCCTTTTATTATTTGTATCATTTTTCCAATTATGCAAGTTTGCATCAGCAAAATGACTCTTCAAGACATCCTAAATAGACTTAGTTCCCCCAAACTTTACTCTGAAGGCCTATGTTGGGTTGACTCTGTTGAGCAATGTTATATTCATAGGTTTACATCACTCTCATATTAGTAGAGCCACTAGTAAATAGTACACATATCATGTCTGTCACAAGGAAAACACTCAGAAGAACTTAATGGTTGCAGTGGCTAACCATGAGACCCTTGCCATACACTTGACAAGCTACCCAGAGTGTTTTGTTTTATTGAAAAATGATTTCTATCAGAGACAATTCTTAAGTTGTATACTCTTGTTATATTGCCTACTGTGTTTTTGAGACCTATGTTTTAGAAGTGCTGTGCCTTCATAGATTTTTGATTGATGAGCTAGTTCTTAGAGTCACATATTTACAATTCACCGCAATGGAAAGGAATTATATGCACATATAAAATTAAGTATACATACACAATTTTGGCACTAATGATATTAGATGGAAGCAATAAAAATAAACAACAGAGCATATTATGTCTTATTCTTTCACAAAACATTAAATGGAATTTAGCTCATTCCGGGTAATGTGCTTTGTGCTATTGTAAATTCATAGGTGTAAGAAAATGGTCCCAGTTCAGGACGTAATGAGACAAACAAATGAAAAATTATCCCAGTACAGTTGGACAATAGCGGAGGGAAGACCTAAGATTGCAAGAGCACCCAGGCGGGCACCTAGTAGAGATCAGGCCAAGGCAGACTATTAGGAAAGATGTCCCAGATTAACACTCAGATTTAGGAAACAAATAGCAAAAAGTTCATGTGGAACCATGGAGGAGGACACTGACAGATTGGCTACTCTATGTGAGGAGACCATAGCCCAGAGGGCATGGAACGGTGGGAATTGACAATGGTCAGACATTCCTAATGGGTGCTGTGTGAGCAATGTGGATGTGCTACAAAGGGGTGGGTTCAGAGTCCAAGGACACCAACAAGATCTTCCTGGAGTTTATTTTAGCCTCTGTGCAATGGGAGACTTCAAAGGACAGGCTGATGCTTAGGTTCGTATTCAGTCACGGGTGCTAGGGCAGTGTATTTGAAGACACCTGAATTCAAGTGAGAGACCAGTTTAAAAGCTTTTGCACTAATTGGATTAAGAAATATTAAAGATGAGGCTGGAGAGATGGCTCAGCTGTTAAGAGCACCAGCTGCTCATTCAGAAGATCCAAGTTCAATTCCCAGTGCCCACATGGTGCCTCACAACTGTCTGTAACAGTTGTGTCAATGTAATTGTCAGGCCCAGGGGATCTGACACCCTCACACTGATGTATATGCAGGCAAAACACCAATGCACATAAAATAAAAAAAAAATACATTGTTTTAAAAAAGAAATCCTGAAGAGTCATTGTAAAATTCTGGCAATGGGAATGGGAAAATGAGGGATTCGATACATTTATGGAGCTTAAGTCATCCATGACCATTGGGCATTGGGTCAGTCAAGCAAGACAGAGAGAAATAGAGCTAGGCATGTGTAGAGCATGTTTGACACATCAACATAGGGAGTGTTGAATGAGATGTATGAGCTCCCTGAAGGTGCTAGGTAGATTAGGCACTAGAGCTCAGAAAGTTTGCAGATGGGAAGTTTGGAAGTATACAGGGTGGTAAAGTTAGTGGACTTTATTAAAGTTGAAGACATGACAATGGAAATAATTAGAGATGTAGAGATGAAGCAAGAATATTGAATTGGAAGTGAAAGCAGAGAATTTAAAGGAAACACTGTCTATATGGCAGATTCATTCATACACAGCCATTACTTATGTGTGTATGTATATACATGCATAAATACTTATGTGCAGTGTATATGTAGACACACAAATCTTAGTACTATGAAGTGAAAGGTAGGTTATATAAGAGTAATGTTCTTGGAAACCTGTGGTGAGGCACAGCTTTAGTTTCAACACTCAGAGACAGAGGCGGGTGGATCTCTGAGTTCAAGGCCAACCTGGTCTACAGAGTGAGTTCCAGGTCAGCCAGAGCTACACAGAGAAACCCTTTCTCAAAGAAGCAAAATAAAATAAAATAAAATAAAATAAAGTAATATCGTTAGTATAATCACACTTTTATTTTTAAAGAAAGGCAATTTCTTCGTTTGAATGTATTTCTTTGTGTATGGGAACAAGGGTGGTGTTTGTGTCTAAGTAGTGGGACAAATTTTGAATTTCATTTTTTTCTTTTTCTGCTATTGTTTATTGGGCACATGTATAGCACTTATAGATTTACAAAGTAGTATTTTTTAAAACACAGGTTAGATAGCATTTGCCACAGGGAGGAAACAAAATTTGAAGGGATTCTGTCCCATGATCGCCTTGCAGTCTTGACGCCTGTACCAGGCTATTCATCGTTTCTCAGTAAGGTAGCCCAGGAATAAGCGAGTCGTGAGTGCAGTCTACGTTTCCCCTGCAGTGTCTCAAAGAGGAGGTTAGTGATAGGCATATGAATGTGCAGAGCTGGAGGAGACTGGAGGAGACGCTGGGCAGAATAGGAAAGTACAGCAAGGCAGCTTCCAACTTAAAAAGTGGATAGACAGTGCGGTCACAGGTCCAAACAGAGCTAGAGCTCTTGAACTTGGAATATATGCCCATCGAGTGAGTTCTCCATTTACAGTGGTGGTTCTCAACCCGTGGGTCACCACCCCCACAGGGGTTGCATATCAGATGTTTATATTATAATTCATAACAGTAGCAAAATTAATGCTATAAAGTAGCAGGGCAATAATTTTGTGGTTGGGGGTCACTGCAGCTTGAGGGACAGTAATGAACTACAGCATTAGGAGGTTGAGAATCATGGCTTTAAAGGCTTAGCAACCTACATGAAGAGACATTTGGTTTGATCCAGAGTTATGAACTTGCCAGATAGGATGCAAGGGAAAGTCGAGGTAAAAGAATTGAGAGTATTTAAAAGGAGTAGCATAATTATTCATGTGTCCAACTCTCTCAATGGAGAAGATACAGCCCGACATCAAAGATGGAGGGAGCCCTGCATCTCGCAATGACGTTGGAAAAGATGTGAAATGAGAACAAGAGAATGAAAATTCTGGAAAGAAAAGAATCCCAACCCACCCCCAGTCTCCAAGCCAGTGAGATGCCACCACACAGTTCTATAGTTAGTTCTCCATACTTTCTTGCTTAGCCTTCGTCAGTACTTTAAAAATTATTTTTCATTATCTGTCTTCTTGTTTACTGTGTAGCTCTATGAGAACAGAGTTTCTTGGTATTATCCACACTTACATACCAGTAGCCATGATAATACTTAGTGCATTAGAGTTGCTCAATATATGTTGCCTAAATGAAGAAATGAAATGGCCAACGTTCTTGTGGTTTGAGACATGAAATGTGGTCTTGAGCCAGAGTAGAGATCCAGATAGAAAAAGAAGAGTTCCAGAATAATAATTTAGGAGCCCATTGGGAGATACTGTCAAATTCTAAAGCTTCTGCTCAGTGCAAGGAAGCATCTGGGAGGTTGTCATCATTGGAATGTTGGAGAGCTTTCATGAGCCCCAGAGAATGAACGGTTTTCCAGACCAGTAGAAAACAAATGCTTTGACGAAGCAATTTGTTGGGGTCTTTGTAATGCCTTGAGTCTCAGATACTTGGCAGCTGCTGCTTTGAAAAGACACATAGGAAAAACAGGTCCCTAGAAAGGGGCTGAGGGAAGCTGGAGGGATAGCCTGTTGAACCTAGAAACGATCTTATTTTCTACAGTCTCTATATGAGGAGAAAGAGGAAAGATGTGGGTGAGGGAGGGAGTGGGATGAGGGTCTAAAAAGCAGAACTCTGTGGAGACAAAGCTCTTTCATTCTCTCAGAAGATAGTCAACAAGGAGAAGGTGGCTTATGGCCACTCTGGTAGCGGTGGCAGGGTCACCCCTGTCTTATGAGGGGGGATTCTTTAGTGTCTTCCCTCCCACGCTCAGTGTGGGGACACTAGAGCAGACTGCTTAGTTTGCTGAGGCATGTGGGGGCCTTGAAAACTGCAAGGTTGTTCAGTGTGTTTGGAAACCATTGCGATGCTTCGCTCACTTACTCTTTACCAGTACAAAGTGATTCGTTAGTGTGAGCACACACATGCAATGAATTGTTGGTACTCATGCATGTATACTCACATCTAGGCCATGTTAGGAATGAAGGTCAGAGGACAGCTGTCAAGAGTCGAGTCTCTCCTTCGTCATGGGGTCCCAGGGGACACACTCAAGTATTTAGGCTTGGTAACAAGCACCCTTGTCACCATTATCTGCTAGCTCTCTGTCCAGCCCTGGCACAATTATTTTAGTCATTTAAAAATTTGAAGGGCCATAGAGATTGTAAACAATGTGTTTACAAGACCTCTGACTAACCTGCCAGTCCCCACCCCCACCCCCCACCCCCGAATCAAAATTTGTTGCTAGTTGTTAGTTAAGCACCTATTGATGGCATCAGTCATACACAGTCTAGTGTATCAGCAAATAGAAGCTACTTAACAGAAGAGGAAACATCATGAATGATCCATATGGCTTACTTATTAACTGGTTATGAAAAGATGTCACTTTGAAGGTCTGACTCTGAAGCAAAGAAAAGTGATCAGAATCAGCAGAAGAGTTGTGGAGGTTCTTTTTTTAGAGAGGGGCTCCTGTGGAGGGGGACGTCTGAGCACAGACCACCATGAAGGAAGGAATGAG